TCCCTGCGTGAGTCTCCGCGAGCAGCTGGAGCATCGCGCAGGCGCTGTATGCGTCAAAAACTCATCAAAACCAGGTAAGGAGCGCGGGCGGGCGGGCGGGCCCTTCGCCGTTCCCGGAAGTTACTTACTTCCGGGTTCACCGACCAACCGGTTCGCAGGGACCGCCGCGAACCGGTTGAAACCCACCCCTGAAAAGAGGGCTTCCAGGTCTGGCAGAGATCCTCATTGCATTCTTTTTAAAATTTTATATTTTGATTTTCTTCTTTCTATTGTGTTTTTTATTTATTTTTTATGCACGTTTTGAATCTTTTTATAGAATGTATATATTTACTTACAGTTTCTAGAAAAAATTGCCCCATAGTGAACCCTGGGTTCACTTAACAACTGCTGCATTTGTTTAATGACCACTGCATTTGCTTTATGGCTGCTGCTCCACATAAAAGTGGAGTCAGATTTAATGACCATCATGACCTATGCCCATAATTACAGGCTCAATTACAGTTGTAAAACAAGGATTACCGGTATGATTTTACTAAATATTTAAAACACTGCAATTAACATCCCTTGAAAGGCATCACATATAATTATGTAATATGATATTAAATGGTATAATTATATTGCTATTATGTAACATGCTATATATTTTACAGGAGCAAAAGCTTAGCTTGTATATAATATCCTATTTAGTATCAGGAAAAAAACTGCAAAGAGGTTTGCTGGCTCATGGTGAGGTATCACCAATACAGAGTTGGCATCCAGTTAAATTCCATCATGAACTGAATAGAGGATGTAATGAAAGCCCTCATCCCATGTTGGAAGGCTCTTAGGATCTGAAGAACAGCTTTAGATCCAACTTGAACAAGGTTGAATTTCAATTCATCCGTGAACCCACTGATTCTGGAACTACTATACTATACCCGTGATGGCGAACCTAACCCTAACCCTGCAGTTGTTTAATTGGTGACAGGGTTGTTAAGTGAGTCCGGCTTCCCCATTGTCTTTGCTTGTCAGAGGGCTTTCAAAGGGGGAATCACGTGGATACTGCAACTGTCATAAATACGAACCAGTTGCTGAGGATCTGAATTTTGATCAGGTGACCGCACGGGGATGCTGCAACGGTCGTAAGTGTGAAAAATGGTCATCAGTCATTTTTTTCGGGGCTGTTGTAACTTCAGACAGTCACTAAATGAAGTCAAGGGCTACCTGTTCTGACCCCCCCTTCTTCGCTCGTTCAAAGACGACAGGCAGACAGACTTAAAAGGAAATAACTTTATCAGTCCT